GGCCCCTTCCTATACTGGCGTACTTTTCCTCACCCCTTCTTTTATGGAAATCCCTGTCTTTGCTAGTAATTTCTCTGTGGTTATATCGATCCTCTGCACACCGGTCATAGTACTGGTCCGTTCGTTTTCGCTCATCATAGTAGCGGTCTTCATCTCTATGTTGGTAGTAGTCCTTTTCTCTATAGCGTTGATCCACTTTAGAGTTATAATAATCTCTATCATGCTCATAATAATGATCACCGTCCCTGTAATTGTCTTTGCGAGCATAGGTGTCTTTATGATCACAGTAGTCTTCATACTGACCTTCGAAACTGTCACACTCTCTGCGATCATATTTACAATGTTTCCTGCTGTCATAATACCGATCCTCTCTGTCATCATAGCGTTCATTGTATTTCCTGTCATAATGATCCTTGCACTTGTATTTGTCCTTATGATCATACTCCTCCAAGTCCCCTTGACTCCTGTGGTCATAACGTTCAGAGTAACGGTAATTTTCTCTGACCCAATCGTCCCTGCTTTTCCTGTCCTTGTCTAATTTACTGTACCTTTCGTGGGTTCTGTCTTTGTCTTGTGACCCTCTGCTGTAGTCCTGGTGGCTGTAATCCTCTGGGCCCTGGTAAAAACAGTTTTTGCCTTTCCATTCAGATATCCTCAAATCTAGGTGTCCATCCTCTGAACCAGGGTGGAAGTAAACGTCCTGGCCTTGAGGCCTCTTCTCTTTGAAAGCTCTATTGTGCTGGTCATCATATTCCCAGTTGGGTTGATGACAGACAGTGCCCTGTGTAATATGGGCCTGGTCCCCCCTTTGTACTGGCCATGGAGCTGGCACATGCACTGGCCCAACTACAGGCACCATCATGCCACCATGTACTGGCACAGGGCAGCCTGGAGGTGGAAGTAGGCCACCGGGGTTTGCCACCATGACAGGTGCCTGTGGATGGCCAGGAGGAACTACTCCATGCCCGGGATATCCAACCTGTTGCTGCTGAAGTTGCAGCTGGTGTAGTTGTTGTATCTGATGCAAATGAGTCATCCTTTCCACCTCTCTGGCCCAGCCAGCATCCCCCAGCTCCTCCACGCTCTTTCCTCTTTTAACCGGGACACCAGCTGCATGGTTCCAATCCACTGGACTAAACATGACTGGGTTGCCATAAACCACTGGGCTCTTCATGGCCCTTGCTGTTTAAATCAGCCTACCAAGTGCTGGTAGAGCTTTTTCTTCAATGTGCCTTATTTCTTCTTTCCAAAGTCCTACATTCCATAACAAGCGCTGTGGGAGACTCCACCTGTCAGGCATATTGTCTGTAATCCTCCCACTTGTTTTCTGTCTCTCCGTTCCTCTGCGTCAGCAAGACTGCCTGGCCCAGGCACCTCCCAGCCCCAGTGTAACCACATCATACCCTCCCCACAGTCTTCTCAGCGAATCATCGAAGGAAGGGGGTGGTGGTGGGTTATTTAAGGAGGGGCCTCCTTGGGTTAATGATTCAGTATAGTCACATGAGTGGAGGATTAAACGAACGGTCCCTCCCATTGTTTCAATTGGCTAGCACCTCTGTTTGCAGGAAACAGTCTGGAATTTTTCTTTGATGGAAAATGGGGACTAAGTTCACAATCTGCCTTTGACAGGCTTCAAACCTCAGCATCAAATGTTTTTTTGTCACCGCTATTAACAATTCTTCATTCTTCCTTGTATCCTGTTTTTCCCTTTTTTGTTTTGATGTGTTGTTTCCTGTGAGTTTCACTTTAATGTTCACCAGGTCATTAAAACTGGCTGCAGTCACAAAAGCAATGATGCAACTCAATCCTGTCTGTGTGTACAACCAGTTCTAACTTTCAAAGCTGGTACAAAGGCCATGATATCTGTGAGCTAACTGAAACTGAGCAATAAAGTGACCTTAGCCTGGAAGTTTGACTTTGCACTGCTTCTCAAGGAGGAGCAATTTTTTTATACGTAAAGAAATCCAGGTGATTTTTGCTTGAAACAAGTTTTTTTTCCAGGAATGACTGAAAGTGTGAGAATGAATGTGAAAATAAGTGAATGGGAAAGATCTAAGTAAACTACAGTTATTATATTTAGATTAATAGAGTAAATGAATGTGGAAAGGGAAAGATGGGAGTACACAGCCTGATTAGGGCTGAGCAGCTACTGAGAAAGTAGCTGCTGGTGTGTACAATGAGCTATTGTTGACAGACTTGTCCCCACTCTCTAAAGAGACACAATCTTTCAGGGTGAGAAAAAACTCAGACCTATTCATAAAGCTAGACTATAGTATACACCCCCTTCCATTAAAGAGGCAGGCCCTGTGGGATAGTATCAAATTAACATCAATCCAAACTTTCTGAAATGTAGTATGAAGCGGACACTAATTTGTACTCTGAATACTGGCGTTCAGTTAGCCCAGCTTATCTCAAACCAGGAAATAAAACATAAAAATCAAGTTAGACCATAAAACAAGTAGCTTTTACTCATATCTTGTCACTTGATGACTTTATTTTGTTTTATCATGTTTTTAACTTTGTTTTCTCCCAAATAAGTGGAAGAACTAACCTTACATGATCCTGATGAAATTTAATAAACATTTAAAAGTTTTGAATTGGATGATTTTTTTTTTTTATAAAGAAATGGCGTGACATTACTTTATAGCACTGCCAAGATGTTTCCTTTTGACAGCGTAGAAAGGAACCTTATACTGAACACAGACTCGAAGTTTCGCTTCACACTGTATTATGCAAGGCTGTTTAATTATCGGTGTTCAACATCTCAGCTTTCAGTAGCAGAACATGACCGAAACTATGTTTGTTGTGTACGTATCTCTGCTGTAGGAATGTCAAATACAACATTCCTCTCCATGGCCGTGTTAGCTTATGTAAACGAAGCTATCAAGGGCTTAATTATCATTCAGCACGTATAGACAAAGTGGTGTGATGTCCAGGAATAAGGTCAAGCTGCTGCCCAGACGTCGTCCAGATTTTATGGTTGACTGAGGGAAACCTGAAGCTGGAACCGATCAATGTTAAAACACATCAGGTTGTGGTGTCACGGAAGGCGAGAGGGGTTTTTAATGACGGTTTCAAAGAATTAAAAGAAGACTGAAGGTCAAAGATGTTAAACCAGAAAAGAGGATAGAAAAAGATGGTGGAGTAAAGATCTAACAAAATCAGCTTTTTTTTGGGAGAGTTTTCTCAAATGCAATTTTTAACACCTTAATTAGTTGCCATACTGCAAAATATATCGACAAAATAATAGCAAAACAGTAATAAAAATAACAAATCATTATACTGTACATGCACGGATACTGTGTTTAAGATGCCAAATGACCTAAACACCAAAATGAAACTCTTTTTACAGAAAGTACTTGACCTCTTTCTGTTTTGAGCTTCAGCATTAGGCCTCTGTCGGCTTCTTTGAGGACACTGAAATGGCCTCTACACAGCGAGGTGCAGGCAGAGCGAGCTCAGTATTCAAGTAACTCCCTGCCTTGAAACTATAAGTTTCCATTGTCTCTCCTACATCACACTCAAGAACACACCCTGCAAAAGCACAGAAAAACATTCGCTCCTGGGTGAGTGTGTGTGTGTGTGTGTGTGTGTGTGTGTGTGTGTGTGTAAGGGCACATAGCAGTACTATGACAAACAGTTTTTTTTTACAACAAAAACCCTGAGAATAGGCACACCTTTCTGTTAGCCCTGCATTAAAAGGGAAAACAAAGGGAAACTTCATATTCTCCTAACATATCCTGCTGAGCTTTTGTGTCTGATTAATGCATTCATAATTAACATATCAAACGCACTGCAATGTGAGTGTCCTTTGTTGTTTTTCCTCTTCCAGATGCAGAATTTCAACCAGCAATCATGTCACCATCTTTTTCAGACTGAATATTTGACTTCATAACTAAGGGAAAGAAGGGTGTGGGAATTCCTGTGCTGTGTTGTGTAAACAGAAACTCTGTGGGTGGTTGACCCTTAGAAGCACCTGTAGCCACCTGAACCAGGTCATGCCCTCAGGCTGATTTCTTTCATTGACAGACATAAACATCACTGATTCCCTCATTTCTAAGCACTGGAAAGTGAAAAATATGACAAAAATAGAAACACTAAACACAGTATTGATCCATCTATCCATTATCTATAACACCTATTCTGGAACAGGGTCACAGGGAGCCAATCCAGCTGATAATGGGCGAGAGGAGGGGTACACCCTGGACAAGTCGCCAGTTTATCACAGGGCTGACACTTAAGAGCCAAACAACCGCACACACACACACTCACACTCACTCCTACAGGCAATTTAGAGTCACCAATCAACCTAAGCTGCATGTCTTTGGACTGTGGGAGGAAGCCGGAGTACCTGGAGAGAGCCCACATTATTGATGGACTGGTACAATGACAAACAAGATAAGTATTAAATTAAAACACACTGGATTCATCTGGTAGTAATCTGCTAATCTTATTGAGATAAACTTGGAGCAAGGAAACTACATCCAGTCAGCAATCTGTTTCTGATCACTGAGAAAATGAAACTGAATCTTTAATTACAGTGTAAAAACATTAACATTACAAAGCAGCCACCTAGTGTCGAGCAGTAGGTAGAGGTAGGAAATCAACAGTTACCATCAATAAATTTAGTAGTAGGTGAAACAATTTCAGAAACTGTTCATGAATGAAATAACCAGACATTAGTGTCTATTTTTGGTGACTCTAGCAAATGAACTACCTTAAAAAAAAATCAAGGTGCGTCAGCACATCCAAAAATAATTTATTGATAATAAACTGTAGTAAAAGAAAATCATGTAGCTTAAAAACTAGGCCTATAAATTAGTCCGACCAAATGAGACCTGGAAATCTAATATTAAAGTTAAGGAAACCCAAACTCCACTTAGACCCTGCATCTGTCTGCTATCAGTTACCTCATTAGCATTGTACTGAGAACAAGCAAGATCCTCCTTTTGCTCACACACAGCATAAGCGAATAAGAGTCCCCTGCTACTTGGTCTTACCCTGTAGCTGCTGCTGCTCCAGTGCGAGGGTCTCCAGCATGTAGTTACAGAACTCCAGATTTTCCATGGCTTGAATGCGGGCTGTCTCCTCCTCCTCCTCCTCCTCCAACATGACCCTGAGTTCCTCCGCCGTGTGTGCATATGCCTCCATGTTGTGCTCCACCTCTTGTATCTGTAGCAACAGCTGGTACCTCTCCTCCTCTTCACTCTGTCTCTTACTGTCCAGCTCCATCTCTCTCTCCAGATCTTTCTCAGCTTCCAGCTGGCACTGTATTTCATGTTCCTGGGCAACTGCAGGGTCGCTGACCTCGGCCTGCCCTTTGGTTGTTTGATTGGGGAGGTTTACAGCTGCTTCGTCAGGGGTGTAGAAGATGGGGCTGCTAGCTGGAGGAGCAGTATTTTGTCCTGGGCACCGAGGAGGGGGACGTGGAGCAGGGCGGGCTGGTTTGTATGCAGCTGGGGCTGGGGGACGACTGACTCTAGGACGAGGAGGAGGAGGGCGAAGGGTCCTGCGCCTCTCCAGTGAGGGAGAGGCAGAGTTTGACTGCAAAAGGTGGGGAACAGGAGAATGTGAGGAGCCTCGAATGATATCACTTTCATCTCTATAGTCCAGAATAGAAAAGTGTCGTGAGACACAGGACTGCTGGCTCAGGTCATCTGCTGAAAGCATGTCCCTTGAAGCACCAGACCCCATGTTGGTATCACCGTACAAAGGAGTCAAGCTTTTCTCAAACTCAAAAAGCTGCTGGGACAGCTTGGCTTCCAGGTCACCGGCTGAGGTTGCCAGGACATCCAAGGTGATGGATGTTGACATTATGCCATTAGAGCCACGTACTGTCTGCTGGGGATGTGCCCGTGTTTCAGCACTACCCATCATCATATCAGCATCACTGACACTAGCATGGCGAGTTAGCTTCTTCTGCTTGTGATCTTTAACAAGGTTAAATAGCGCTTGTCCAAGACTGGCATTTCTGAGACTTGTGGTGGCACCATCTGCCTGTGGTCTCTGATAGTATCTGCTGTCTTTAGACCACCCAGGCTGAGTGCTAGGGAGGGTAAGGCTATGAGTTCGCTTTGGCTGTAAGGATCGAGTGTTACCATTAGTATAGTGAGATCGATTTGTGCCAGATTGGTGCATATGACTACGTGCAGGCAGGCTAGGCCGAGGTGGGATTCTAGGCCTGGCTGACGGAGTGGATCTGGGTCTCCTGGGCCCTCTTTGTGATGGGGCAACAGGTTTATGTGGCTGAAGATCAGGCCTGCTTCCCCCCTCTCTCTGCATTCTGTTGTTAGTTTGAGGCTCAGCGCTTTTGTTTCCACTCCACCTATGCTCCTCTGTCCTCTCAAAGTAGTCCAGGTCCCACACCGTATGGTCCTCATAAGTCTTCCATTCAGCATCATTCTCTGACCCATTAGGAAATAACTGACCTGAGTTGTATTCAGAAGTGCAGCTGTTCTCCTTGTCTTCGTCCAGTTCAACAATATTTGTTTCCTCTGCAGTTTTCTGTCCGTCGTCCTCTATTTTGACAAATCGATGAGGAAAGATACCACACTGCCCTCTCAGCTCCCCCTCCAGCCATCCGTCTTCCAGAGTGCCAATAACACGTATGCGATCCCCCACATCAAAGTCCAATTCGCCTGGCTCCATGGCCCGAAACTCATACAGAGCCACTCCATAAATGCCACTCTCTTCCTCTTCTGCTTCCTCTACTACATCCTCTTTCTGCTCCTCTTCTTCTCTCAGAAAAACCTCCACTCCTTCTACACCTTCCTCCTCAGTCCCCTCTCCTGCATCAGAAGGGTCCTCGTATCGTAATTGTTGAGGGTCGCTGTTCAAAGGTTCTTGAGGAGTTCGAAGGGGACCAAGGAGCTCCACAAATCCCTCTGGGAAGATGCCCCTGCGGCCCTCCAGCTCCCCCTGGAACCAGCCCGGCTCAGGCAGGCCTGTGATGATGATCAAGTCCCCCTCACGGAAGTCCAGCTCCTCGTTGAGCTGTGCATGGAGGCTCATAAGGGCCCGGGCTTGGCATAGGGCATAGGGTGGTAGCTCTGAAGCCTGGGCCTGAGCCGAGCGTTCAGAGAGCTGCCTGGAGCGGCCTGAAAGGTTCAGCTCCTTCACACACGAGGTGGGGAAGAGACCACGGGTGCCCCAGGCATTACAGCCACGCTGCCATGTTTCGCCCAGGTCCGTGGACCCTCCTACTTCTCCAACTATCACATCACCTAGACACAAACAGATAAAGGGGTATTTGCATTTATTATTCATATTACGTGAGTCGTGGTGAAGGATTTTTTCAAGTTAAAGTTGCCCTGTTCGAGAAGCGTCAAGACATAAAAGTAATGCAAGCAGACAAAAGTAAAAATACAGTATTAAGCCATTAACAAAACAAAGAACAAGCCTCGAGTCTGTGCTTGTGTGGAGGCCGACAAGAGTTCCTGAAAGACAGCTTGATAGTTCATTTCTATATTTTAAGGCATACTCTGCACTCCTGAAGTAAATACTTTGTCAGTTATTTCAGATCACCATTATTATTGCATTTCTAATAACTTTCCTAGGGTCAGCGCTGCTGCTAATGTATCTGGAAAAGTCAGGGATTATAGGAATGTTGACTTGTCAGCGAGAAGTCAGTGAGGTCACATTCCAAAGACCTGCGGCTCCACCTCCCATTGTGTCTGGGACCTAAACTGGAATACTGCCAAAGCAACTATGGAAAATCATACTGGAAATGAACATTTCAACTCTCAGATGGCAAGTAAAAAGAGTTTCCTATGGTTCCTGTCATCCAGGAAGTGTTATTTGTTTATGAAAATAAAAAACATGCTGTAATATTGTCTTTGCATAAATTTTATCAATTCAAATCATTAAAAAATATGTTAATAAACTAAAGTAAACCATAAGATGTATGTAGGCATGATAAAATTAGAATGAATGAATTGTTGATTCATCAGGTGACATTATGAATCAGAAAGTTGTGAGGTCCCATTGTATCCTCCATACGTTTTAACACATTCTGCTGAATTAATTTAAGATGCTTTTTTGTTAAAAGCAACTTAAGTTAAATTTGGCTCTGTACAATACTTGAACTACTATTATCACTACAATTAGTACCTGCACTTCTATTAAAAAGCATTTCCAATATGAAGGCCTGCAGCAAATATTAGCACTGTATGCCTCAAATCGGAAAACAACAACTAATGTAATCATGTTCGAAATCCAGGAATGTGAAAAGAAAGTCAGTAGTGTTTGAGGACATCTAGTGGCGAGTTGTGGAAATGAAACTTGTGCTGCTTAATCATTTCATTTCCCCCACTGGAGGTCCATAATTGTTTACATCTGTAACCAAAGAAAGAGTTTTCCCCTCAGGTGACCATAAAGCAAATTGAAACATTTCAATTCTTTTGCTGAAAAATCACCCAATTAGAACAGCTGCAAAAAAAAAAAAAAAAATCACTTCTCTTTACCTGAGCACATCAACCAGCAGTGTTAAGCTAAATTAAAAAAACAATTAGAGTTACCAGTAGCAGTACAGTAGTGCGAAACACACTGCTTAGCTTCTGATCCTGTGCAAAATATCTGATTACAAACAACAGGGCCCTTGTATGCTCACATCTGAGGACACTAATGGTGACTGAGACCATCCATAGAGGAGATGCACTTCATTGATTATTATGAGTCATCATTGTGTGTATGAGTGCATGGAGCATGTCCACACCTCTCTTCAGAGACAGGACGCCTGGCTCTGCTGAGCTGAAATCATTGATGCACACATAGAGTCGGTCTCCAGGCTTGGTGCTGGGAATGGTAACCTCTTCCACAAAGGTGCTGGGGAACTGACCTGAAGATGAGACACAGAGATAAAATACAATGAATGAACTGGAAAACCTGTTTCCTCAGCACACTGACAATACTGACTGCTATACACTAACTTCTTCAGTTCTTCTTCTTCACTAGTCTAGATTCAGTTACTGCGTGTTCACCTGAAGATATGGGGATTTACAGTGGTCTGACAAATTCATCTCTATAAGAGAATGCCAACTGAATAAAAATGGGACCCGTTTAAACAACGCATTTTGAATAAAGCAAAATAAAAAAAAAACAGTATGGACATTAGTTTGAACTTGAGTGGATGTATGCCAGAATTTTACCTTGTAATAAAAGCAGTTTTTTGCTTCCCTGGAAAGACGAAACTGCCCGTAACAAAAGCAGTTTCGTCCTTCCAGGGACATCATACCATGGATGTATTGATATCACCTGTGTTTTCCAGGAGCAGCTAAGCTAACCCACACCAACTTCCCCTCTGCACATCCGTTCTGAGGGATTCCCCGTCGTCATCTTAAGTGTCGTTCAACTCGTCAAAGTTTTGGTGGACTGCATTCTTTAAGTAACACCTGTTTTGTTCTCTGCGGTAGACAAATTGCAATAAAACTGAAATATTCAACCGCCTACAGTAAATTTACAGCTTACCTGTGACGCCATCTTTGTTACCAAGCAACCAGAAGTCGTCCACAACACTGAGCACCTCGATGACATCACCCGTGAAGAGAGGCAGCTCCTCCGAGACGCTGGGGAGAAACTCAAACACGGCACGCACCACTGATCCTGCTTCCATTACTCATAACCTGTAGACGTGGAAAGAGAGACCGTTTTCTATTAAAAATGCATGAAAGAATTCCCACAGAACAGGGAAAAGTTAGGATTAACAACAAACTGCTGAAAGTGCAAAACTTTCATAAGAAAATATGAAGAACGACAAGAAGCCTTTTCCATGAGGAATCAAGAAGTAGGGATAGACAGTAACCATCCCAGTAGAGATGTCTCTCTAAACTTTCTACTAATAAATACCTCTCATGTAATTGTTCTTACACTTGACAATGCATTTATGATCGCTTTCAAGTCACAGTCACTGTTTTATTGATACAATAAAAATAGCAGAGCTTATGAATCATGTTATTTGAGAAGGCGGGAGAGGTCTTTTGAGGTACAATTTGAGCCTGATACTCCAGTTATAAGCAAAATGAGCTAATCTACATTGAACAACACAATAAAAAATGCATTTGTTTACCATTTCACAAGCCCTATTTCATGCAAAGGCAGATACCTGAAAAATCTACTTAACTGTACTTGTACTTCATTTCTTCCCACCTCTGTATGCAAACTATACTGTATGTACTGTGACATGCCCACTGATTTATTAATATAATACTCAAAAAGTCCTCTAAACTGCATCAGATTGGACTGACTGAAAAAGCAAACAGCCCAACACTTTCATGACACTTTTTAAATGTCTCATCTACTTCAAACCAGTGAGAAAAGCCCAAAAATACCAAAATATTCTCATGTGAAATAAGCAGAACTGTGGCAGAAGACTGTTTTCATGTAAGATTTAGAGAAGGGCCCTCATACTATTCCTCAGGAGAGCGTGAGCAACATGAAACATTACTCACTTTTCTGCTTATGCTCTTCATACAAAACAGCAGCTGTCAGACAGACACCACAGTGAATTAAACATGTCCTAACACGCAGCCTGTTAAACACATATCAGCCATGTTTGAGAAATGGTTTCCATGAAACAGTGAGTAACAATGAGTTTCCCGACAACTCTCAGCCTGAGCTGCTGTGTTGGACTGAACACGACCATTTCCTGTGATTTAGAGGAAAACTCCTCAAGCAGAGGACAAGTTAAAGACAAGTCCAAGACACTGAACCCCGCTGTCCATTTAGATAACAAATCAAAGAAGCATGCACAAATGTGTGTGATTTTAGAACATTTCTTATAAGATTTCTTATCAGTGTGCCAGATCAGACAAACGGTGAATTACTCTCTAAGGGTTCTATCAGAAAACACTGTGCCAGGAAACAGCATGAGACTCACACAAAAATATTTATAACAGGCCCGCTTTGCAGACCACAAGTGAAACCATTTACCCTGAAGTCACTGACTCTTCTTATTTGCATTTGCCAAGATCACTTGTGGTGTACAGCTTGCAGTGGTGTTGTTGCTTACAGAATGAAGTGAAAACGGAAAAGAATCCTGTGTTGTGTTGGGGAAATCCAACCAAGCAACTGCAAACCAACTTGGGAAACGGTGGCACTTGGCTACAGTGCAGAAACCCTGTTTATTTTTCAGTGTGCATCTCATCCAGCACAGCCTGCCACCATCACAGCTCAGCCTACAACCTGCGCCCAGGAGCTGCAGAAACTCACTGCACTTGCGCAGACACAGTTTAACTAGGAGTAGATAATCCTCAGGCCTGCAAACAGCCAGACAATCTCCTTAGTGTTATTTATGGGCATGTCTGTGTGTCAGTGACCCTTGTGTCTGGTGATTTTTACATTTACTTTTTTTGGCATCTTGACCACAGAGTTGGTGTGATGGCTTTTTTTTTCATACATGGTAAAGACTGAATATCCTCCAACAAAGTCCTGATAACTGTAACCTAACCTTTAAAAAATAAAGCTGGTTAAAAAATTATTTCATTAATCACTAGTGTTAAAAATCTGTTTTAATTAGACAGAAACTGTTTAATGTTTAGCTGTCATTTCAATTAGTTCCTCATCACTGTCTCACTTTAACAACTCGAATAGCATGATACAACAGCGGTGGTCAGTGATTTTTTTTTATTGTGAAGGAGACAGTGCGACTGGGACTAGTGTGTGCCACTTGGCAGGGACCTGGACAAAGTAAAAGGATTACAACAGACAGGTAAGTCAACAGCTGACACGTGCCACATAGATACACGCACAGACTTAACAGCTGATAGTGAGACAAAGCACCGTCTGACCTGAGACACGACCTTACTAAACTACCTGCGGATGTGCACGTACGTGTGCCCAACATAAATGATCAGTTTAAGATGCAAAACAAAAGTATGTACATTATATAGCAGCAAGTCAAACCAAGTTTCATGATGTTTCCAGGGATTCTGAAAGATTGTGATTGAAATCCTTTGCTATTTTTTATGTTATAAACCAAACAGTTGACTAGTTGAGAAAATAACAAATGAAATAATAATGAATATGACTGTTTTTATTTTTAATAAAACAGATATAGTTCTGTGTAGCTGTACTAACTTGTCCAGCTCCGCCACTGCTGTGAGTCATCTCTAGTTTTCCTGTCCATGCAGGTGCTGAAACATTGTGTTACTGTGAGCACAAAGCAGAGGAAGCAGGATCTGCTGACTGCTTGGATCCTTTACTGAACAGGGTATCTGACGCCAACAATGAAGCCGCTGCCTCATTATCTGTCTGCCTGCCAGGGCCAGGCTCACACCCATGCACAAGCCATGTGCCATTCATCCTATTCAGATATACTGAAGTGGCAGGCTGGCACACGCCTGAGCGTGGACGTCAATGCACATTCACCCAGACTGGTAGAACCCTCTGGAGGGGGCTGGATGACAGCTGATGACTGTGCAGGAGTGAAATCCTCCCATCCAGAACGCTGAGTCCACTGAAAAGCTGTCACTTGCAAACATCACCACCAAAGCTGGTGGTTCAGCCCGCCGACGGTTCTGGATATCGAAAACTGTGGGACATGTGTTGTTTTCCTTTTGACCATCTAGTCTGTTCAGCACATGTGACTGGGGGGCAATGAGGAGCTTCTGATGGCTGACAGTCAACACAAGTGGTTTTCTAATCCTGCATTTATAGAATCAGTGCCTCAGAGACCCCCTGTTGATGATCAAGCAGCAACCACTGAGGCTGAGAAATAAAGCCACTGCCTACAGTTTGTGTTAAAGGCTGTAGTTCCTCAAATGCCCACTTGAGGCTCTAAAAGGGAGTCAATCCCCACAGATGCCCATGTAAAAATGCCCCCCCTTTGCAGCAGAGATAAATGTTTACAGCCTGGTACAAGAGACTGTTTTGGTCTCTATAGCTAATTTACCCTTTCATGACAACTGTACAGGAGGTGAATGTTTATATAACCCTCCCCTTTAAATTATATTGAGACTAAAAGTTATACATAATTAAGGCCTGGCTGCTTTGAGTGACAGGTGGAAGGGTCCTGTGACACGTGGCTAGCCACTTGCTATACTCACGATCCTCCTCTTCACCCATCTTTAGATTAACCGTAGCAGGCATCAAACTGTGAAACACACAAAAATCATCCATTTTCTAAACCGCTTAGTCCCAAACAGGGACACGGGGGGCTGGGGCCAATCCCAGCCAGCTGCGGGCGAGAGTCGGGGTACACCCTGGAGAGGTCGCCAGTCCATCGCAGGGCTAACATACAGACGAACAACTACTCACACACACAATGCTGCATATCTTTGGGAGGAAGCCGGAGCACCCGGAGAGAACCCACGCAAGCACGGGGAGAACATGCAAACTCCGCACAGAAAGGCCCCAGGTCAGCCCAGCCGGGGCTCGAACCCAGAACCTTCTCGCAACAGCGCTAACCACCGCGCCACCGTGCTGCTCCACAAAAATCATATGAAGTAATTTTGTTTAGGGTATTCTGCTGGTTTAGTGGCTGAATTTTCATTGTTAACCTATCAAAATAGCCACAAATTAAAATTGTTTCAACAAGCTAATCGATTGTTCGAGTAACTGTTTCTGCTCTAATCTGCACATCATGTAATATTCTGGGGTTAAATGCCGCCCAGGGCCCTCCCACACCTCTAGTTTTTGATGTTCATCTCATGTTGCATCTGTTTGATGAAAGCAATCCTCAGAAACTCTACAGTAATGTCCCGTGTTGTGCTCTAATGTTTTTGCTGTAAACAAGTAGAAGGCAGGACAGTTAGAACAGCAGCCTGGATTTTACAGTGCATTTCAACCAGATGAGGCAGCACATCTGGCAAGCTGAGTCAAACGCCTGAAGATGCCAGACTCTGTTGAAATATCTGGCCAAGACGTCTCTTTCACTCAAATGTGTGAAAACTAAACACACACAGAGAAACAGTCGAAAAAGCAGACAGATATACTAACATAGCTATTCTGCCTTTGCTACAGTCCTACTCTGAAATTGCTTACACAAAGAAAAAGGATAAACTGTTCCTTCTATGTAAAACAGCTCAAACAGAAGAACGGCATCTGTGCTTAAGGATGACATATCGCTTCTTTTATCTTGAGGGAGTGTCTCATTGTTGTTACTGTAAGCCTACCAAGACAAATTCCAATCAACAGTGTTGAAGGATGCGACACTAGTCCTATAAAATAATCCAAGGTTAACCAAGACAGGTACTGTGGTACAGAGCAGCTGTTTAATCCTGAACAGGACAAGCCTCTCAGTCCCTCTCAAACCAGTCACACCTCTGCTTCAGCAGCCAGTCCTGTCTTGTCTGCGTCTCCTCCACACACAAAGTCTCTATTGACATCTTAGGGAGTTCTGCTCTGTGTCTTATTTACATTAGTTAAACTACTAAATTAATAAAAACTATAATGCAGCAAAACTATAAGTGTTCATTGACAAAGTTACATGAAATCTGTGTTGCAGCTGAATCTGTGGGGAAAGCCTGGGTGGGTGGGCTCTTGTGAAACGCCGCTTCTGACGTTGTGGCTCAGCCGATGATCTTGATCCACCTCTGTCTTCACATTTTCATTCATTTTGCTTTCCAGCATCTCAGCAGTTAGGGCGGACATTCAAGCATTCCTCAGGGGAATGTGATTATTTTTAGACTTCACTTCATCCTGACTTTTTCCTTTCTTTCTTTCTTTCTTTCTTTCTTTCCATAACTCATCTCACTCCCCATATTTGTTTCTCCATTCCCTTCATAAGCATGCACGTGTTGAATATCAATGACTTGTATGACACTCGTACACACAAGTATACAGACACTGGGTGGGACCGCGCTTTTGCATAAACATTTCCACTGCAAGGAGGAGAGCTCAGATGTCTGAGCTCAGAGGGCCGAGGCTGTGTTGTCACGGATACTTAGACCCGTTTGGACGGCAGAGGGGTTTCACTGAGAGGACCCCAGAGGTGCCCAAGGATATGCCGCACCCTTAAACCACGGCTGACACCTAATAGTTTGTATATGATCTGTTGCATAACTGAGCTCAATTAAAAGTCACATCATAACATGCCTGCAGAAACACGGTCAATTCACAGGGACTGAATATGCCTTTTGGAAAGATCCACCCAAGCTCAAAATTCTCACATCTTGTGCTCAAACTTTTAGATATTTCAGGGGGAACCGAGGACATTAACAAGAGACTGCAGAGATGGGAAAACCTAGCCTGCATTGATGAGTTTTCCTAAGTGGGCTTGACACTGCTGCTGACATGTTTGTGAATCACCTCCTGGGACTGGTCTGGAATAATTTAGACAGACAACAGTTTTCTCACCTCTGCACACACAGCTGTGCGAAGTGAGCAGCACATTCATATCACTGGTTTGTCAGAAGTAGCCCCCTTTGTTCCAATATCAGAAATGTGTGGTGTGATGGGGGTTCAGGCACCATTCGATGATTTGATGAACACTGTGTTTGCTGTAAACCAACCCCATCAAGGTCAGTACTCACACTGTTTATTGATCCTCCAGCCTTTCTATTCATGCTACTCCCAGTCCAACCCTTAGCTACTTATTTAAATAATCTTAGCCTCTACCAGTACCATGTTGACACTGAAAATAACAGCTAACTGTGCAGATTACTGAGCCTTGACAGAGTGCTGCTTTGTTCAGTGTTTTTGTCGCTGTGCCCAGCTCTGAGTCTGTCTGCCTCTATTGCTAATTGTCTCAGCTTTTTTGATTTAGAAAATCCATTATTTTGATTTTTAAAATAAAACATTGTTGGACATTCTATCACAATTATGGATTCTATTTATGTATAAACATACCTCCCCCTCCATTCGTTCTACATAATGCCCTTATTATGGTTTCCTCTAAAGATGTTGAAGCCAAAACGTGTCAGCTGAGGAATATGACATCATTTTAATCACCAAGCAGATCTTTGAAGGAAGGCGACTTCCTTATTTTCACTCTAATTTTAGCTATTAGCTATAGCTAATGTTGCGCCACCAGCAACGAACGTAAGGAGTGTTGTCATTTTAACATCCGAGCCACAGTTTCTCTCTGAAGTGACAGTGTGTTTCCTAATACTGTGACAAATTGAGCTTTTCTGTCTTTCCCATGCATCATAAAGGCATGTTTATTATTGCCGTTTTGCATATTCCAGGAACACCCAAAGACATGCAAACCGACACAAACGTCTCAGGTTTCTTTGTCACCATGTGTTGATATAGAAACCTGTTGCTAGTGTTCAATAATTTAGTGTGAAGGATGTTTTTGTGCATCCAAACTCCTGGCTAGGTACTAAACACAAAGACAACTGAAGAGAAAAAGATGCCTACACTTGATTAATGTGCTGACAGTAGTTAAAAGAAGATTGCCAGGTATGACTCAGATGAAGGAATAAGTAAAATGCATTTTCATGTAAAGTCCTGCTACGCTAGAAGGAACAAATCTTTTCACTTTTCAGAAATGATGGGTGAGTTGGATCCCTGCAGGCGAAGTAAAATACAGAAGCCTTGATGTTGTGTCAGTGCCAAAGCACTTCAACTTACAATAGTGGCGCTGTAGCAATTTTGCGGTTTATGTTGTCTTCCTGATTGATATTTTTAGTTGAGATATTGGTGCATCTAATTTTTCTACTGTGTTCAGTGTGTTTAAACAGAAACAACACTCACTTCCTTGTGCTTCAAAACAACATGATAAGTATGAAGCATGATGATAAACCTGTGAGTGGTGGACATTCAAGCAGTAGCAGCAGCACAAGCTGAACCTCGATACTTTTGATTTCACAGCTAAAAGACACAAAGTGCAGCTGTAACAAACAGGCAGGCATGTCATGTCACAACAACCCGCACTGCCGATGTAAGACTACATTATGAAATGTGTCCCTGTCTTTAAAGAGGAGGAAAAATGTCAATGTGTTGCAATTCAAGCCTAAATTTTGTGCTGGTTCACCTAAAATTTTCAGTGAGCAACACCAGTGTGTAAAGGGTTAGTCTGGAGCCCAGATGCAGTAATGACTCTACAGTGATTTATAGAGCCTGGGAGACCAGTGTCAAACTGGAGCAGTGTGCCAGTGCTCCCAGTAGTCTAACTGAAACCATAATGGCTCTATACAACAGCACAGAATAGAGCTGTCAAAACAGAACTGTTAGGTTAGAGCAGAACAGGACAGGACCAGCAAGTGTAATGGGGCGGAATTCAACAGAACAGAAGATATATCAGAACATAAAACGGACCAGAACAGTGTCAGAGACCATAATGCAACAGAGCATTAAACATCACAGCACCATAGCTCAGCTCAGTGCGTGTGATGCCTTTGTGCGTTTTGCTGTCTCTCTCACACGGTGGAACAACTGGCTGGAAAGCGGCCACAGGTGACAGACACACAGCAGGGGGGTTATTTGGTCTGCAGCACATGTTGTGTTCACTGCTATCGCTCATTCTGCTCACGTCGTTAGTCTAACAGCTCTGGTATTCACACCAAGTCTGGCTGCTCTGAAGCCTGCGGAGGGCGAATCATGGCCAAAGTATGACTGTGGGCACCTGGCTGTTACACGACACACCTTTTCAGACAAGTCTAATGAAGGAAAATGCAGCGTTATTACCCTGTAGAGAGAAAGTAATGTAACGTTGTAAAGCTGTGTAGCAACTGAAGTCATTACAAACATCTTTACGCACACAACGCGTCTTGATCAACGTTTTTCTAGATCGTGTAGCACTACACAAGAGGTAAAAGTTAGGAAGTTGTGCTTTTCTTGCCTGTAACGCGGTTGAACCGCAACAGGACCACGTGCTATCCAGCCGTTAGATCCAGCCCGACGAGATATCCAACTTGTCCAGCCTGATGGTGGCGGAGTGGCTTTTCCTCACGACACAACTTCTCAGCAACTACACTTCCCACAGCTTTGGGGCCGCGCACAGAGTCATTGTTCCTGGGAAGATCGGCTGTATCTCGGCGTGAAAGTTAAGAAACACTACTGGCATGGAAAGATGGCACTATCAGCTGTCATAACATCAGAATCAGGAGCAGCCGCGGCGCTCTGCGCCTCTCCATGCCTACGCGCGACAACGCCACCCACTTTTTCCAATGAGATCCGTGGCTGGCTCGGCTGATGCCTGACGGAAAAGAAAATAGTGGGCAGGACCCGAGTCATTCCAAGATCAGTTTAATTCAAATGAACTAAGTGAAGAAAGTACCGGGTTCTTGTAGCTATACTGTCACTGTTGTTTCCCAATAATGCATAGCTATGCAGTTACCGTATGTGCCTAGTAAACAGTGATACAGCCTAATAAAGTACATACGTTTAGCTACATTTGTGGTACTTTCCCTTTTGTTGTTACATTACAGTAGTCCACAACATTTCATATAGAATCATACAGTTTTTCCTCAGATCAGTTTTCTGACAGCTACAATTTGACTTTATTATAAATTAAACTAGAATAGAATAGGATATCCTTTATTGTCATTGCACTGAAAAAAATACAACGACATTTAAAAGACAGCTCTCCTAGAGATACTTCCATCACCCACACACTCACACATCTCACTCTATACAGATAAGTTAGTTAAAAACACAAGAAGCACATAAAATATTAAAATTAGAATTAAAAATTATTAAAGTTGCAGTGCGATAGTTGCTCACATGAAACAAGTCCAAGAGCTAATCAGCATCCACACAATAAGATAACAGAGGTGGGGGCAGTGGGATAGGGGGCTGAGAATTAAGCTGAGGGGTAAAAACTGTTCTTCAGTCTCGTGGTGTGGCATTTCAGGGCCCTGTAGCACCTTCCAGAGGGTAGCAATGTGAAAATATGGTGAAAAAACTACCAGGAGACTGTACATCAGTTGAAATCAGCCCCATCTTCAACAAATAAAACATTCAGTCTGATTAAATATGAATGCATTCATTATATTAATCTAGAAATCAGGTCAGCTAATCAGTTACTTTTGAATGTGCCCAGAACAAAGCGCAAGCTTAGAGGTGATAGTGCCTTTGCGGCTGCTGCTCCCAAGCTATGGAATGATTTACCGCTGCCCATCAGACAAGCCTCTTTTTTGCCTGTTTTTAAGTCCCTTTTGAAAACTCATTTATTCTCGTTGACATTTTGATCATTTATATTGGTGTTGATTTTATCTGTATTGACTGATATCTCATATTGGTGTTGATTTTATCTGTACTTGTGTTTATTTTTAATGTATATTGTTATTTACACTGTACAGCACTTTGGTCCACCTTGGTTGTTTTTACTGCTTTATAAATAAAGTTGGAATGAATGAAATGGAAAGACAGCATTCAGTGGGAATTTTTTGTTTAGATTAAAGAGTACTTTTCCCTACTGATTAGGGTTGCAAGAAATTATTATTCTCAGTGTGAGTAAATCTCTATTATTTTCTCAGATAATCACTTAATAGTCATAATAGCTTAATTAAGAGTAGGGTAGCTTCTCTGGTAGGCAGGAACACCCTGATGACATTCACACCTGGAAGCTGGTCAGTACAACCACAGGCCGACCTGATGGCCACTGAGCGGCTCCACTAGAGCGGTTGGGGGGTTAGGGGCCTTGCTCCAGGGCACCACGATGGTGTTAATGAGGGTGAGGCAAGTGTGGCACTAACACCCGAACCCTGACCCATCCAGATTTAATCCTGTCAGTCTAGGGATTGAACAAAAGATCTTCCGGTCACACAGTGCTTCTCTAATTTTTAGGTAACCACTTCTGTAATTGGTTAAACATGACAAGGATAAATGTGACCAAAGTGGAATTTGCTAACTTGGTGTTAATCAAGCTTGTTGACACTCAGCTGGAAGGTGTTCAGTGGATTTCTTCTTAAACACGCAGCTCTTTTATTTTGAGTCATTAAGACAATAAACAGCTTTTTTAGAGTTAGAAAAGCATAGTTGCATGACTGTATGTCTGCTAATCCTTTTCCCAGCCATGGCCACTGTGTGTTGTGATATAAAACAGTGAATCCAGTTTTTGCTGTGTCTGCAGTAATAGCAGCTTCCTCATACTGTATGTGATCTTGTATGTGCAGAACAATTGCAGGAAACTAAACCAGTAGGCTGCAGAAAAGGGCAAAGATACAAGGGAGGCCACACAAAAACACACAAAAACAGGCTCACTCGAAGACACACATAGCAGCACACTCTACTGTACACTTTGCTATATTCACAGATTTGCTTTATACTGTATATAAAGTACAGACATAGACCATGGTGTCAGGTATAATTGAAATCTGACATAACAACACCTATATAATGAATTCATACTTATATTATTTTCCAGTTTCCAACCAGTGAAGCTGTTGCCCTTTATAATTCCATGCCTGTGGGCTTCAGCACCAGGAAAGCCCATGCAGTCACCTGCTCATGCTGACATGTAGTGTAACCTAACACATTGCATCATATATCCTAAAGGCTAATCACATCATTTGTATGTAAAATCTTAATCAGAAAAGTAACTGAAACTGTCATGCTGTGGAGAATTTAAGTACATTTAGTATATTTCCTTCAATTAAATTATTTTAACACATAATAAGGATTAAAACAACAGCACAAATAAAACAGATTGTATACTTTTATACAGTATATGCATGTGTCAGTGTGTGTATGTATTGTCCACGATGATGATGTGTGTTGTTCGACATAGCTTTATAGTTGAAAGAGTATGTATGTGACATATTTTTAAAGTATGCAGGTGTAAATGTATGAGATAGGTGGCAAGTATGTTGCATAAAGTGATACCATAGTACATTTACTATTAATATTATTAATAGCATTTATGATATTGAAAGCTACAGTATAATAATATGTATTGTGAAAAATGTGGAGCTACAACTTGCATTTATTTATAACCATAATGCATTATACCACTATACTGTTCATTATGCCATTATATCACTGTCCAATGAAAACCAATAATCTTTGAAATATCAACTTTGTTTTAAGTTACACAACAATGCATTTTCTATATATTTCAATGTTTTGTTTAAAGTAACTGGTCTATAACTTACGCTAACCCTGGTCCAACTGTGTCATGGGACGTCTTCATAAACTCTGATTCAGTGAATGTGGGTAAGTCAGTGTAGGAGGACTACTGGTGGGCTTCATTGACGCCACATTTGGCCAACTAAGCACACACACACACACCAACACTACAGCTGAGAACACTCCAGAGCAGCAGCACTGTATGAAATGCTGGCTTTGTCTTCTCTCACAGTGACCACTTTCATTTAAGGGCAGTATGTGGGTCAATTGTTGTCTTTGAATACTTGCTGCCAGTTGATCGTCACTACAACACACTGTAGGCAGAGAACACTTTGGCTGTTGTACAATAATCCTATTGTACTTCCCCTGAGAAGCAACTGTGATAAAGTATTGGAGTGAGAGAAATGATCATGGGTATTCCGGTTACTGGACTGATAGTTGAACTGATGTCAGTAACTGAATGACGTAATGACTGTTATGACTTTTATCATGACAATGTGTTTAATGTTATATGACTAATATCAAATTGCTTACAGCTCAGCTTTGACTTTTGGTTCATTGCTTGGCAATCTGATGCAAAGAACATAGCAAAATGTTCTATTCTCAGTTGCTCTCATCAGAAAAATCCACCTCTGAGCACGTCTTTGAGTTTACTCTGTTATGATCATTTAATTGTTCCTAAAATATTTCCAGTATTGACCATTACTTTGTTTCTGTTGGTTACACTAAAAGTTACCAATCTATTATGTTCTGCTGTTGAATTTATGCCACTCTTGCCTATTTTATGCTCAGACTGGTACCTGAAATGTAACATACCCACATAAATTATGAAAGATAAACAGTTAGAAAACAAAGGTAAACAAATGAGAGTTGTTCTGTCCATTCATTTTCCTGTGAATTGTTTGCAGAAATGTTATCCTGTCCTTTGCTGCCACCTCCAGGAAGCTGAGGCCCCATCTGGTGAAAAAGCAGAACTTCAGTCTTCATGTCAGCTTGTTCTGCATCTACCGTATCATCTGCTTTGCTGTTGCTTCCCCAGCTCATACCAGGATCAAGCAGTGTAGTGATCATCAAATGGTTTCAATGTCCTGTTGATATGAACTTGATATGAAGATCTCTGTATCTCTCTTTGGAAAGTCTGCAACAGTGTGTGCATTAATCTCAGTTGTTCAGCACAAATGTCATTTTGTAGCTTCCACTACAGATGCAATAAAGCATTAATTTGATCTAATTTAAAAGAAAATGGCTGAAATTTTTTCAAGAACATGATCTCTTTAGTAAACAGGAAATTCGTGTGACACTTAAACAGGACTTCTTGCTACTAGGTTTTTCCGCACCGTTCACAAACACTAGAGAATACAACAATAGCTTCTCTCTGACAGACAGGAAAAAGGAAAGACGCACTTTCTTGGGATCGGCACAGGTTGCACTGTGGTGACACATGGGTGAAGCCTGTAATGAAATTGTTAGTACAAGATATAAAGTCAGAAGTCAAAAGATACAAATATCTAAAATTGGCCTCCAGGAGTATTTTGGTGATATGAAATATAATAATTATTATAGTCATTATGGAATCATTATGAAAGTTGAGCTTTACAAGGTGCAGTGAATTTCATTAGTGATACTTCTTCATTTTATTTTGTTAATTTACTTTTATGTCCCTTCATGCTCCATGTACTCCTTATGTGTGGATGAAAATGCTACAAAATAAAACTTACTATTGCCATTACTGCTATCATTAAGAAAAAAAAAAACATTATTTATTCAAATGAATTAAAGCACTAAGCAGATAAAATACAGTAAAAACACAATAAAGCGAGAATAAATTAGGACTGAAAAAACAGTCTTTTATTTTCACTCTCCATTTTCATCAAATTATAATAATCAAAAATAAAATAGTCCTTTACAAATACAGGATAGTTGTGTTCATATAAATCAATATTGTTACATAAATACACCAGGTTTTTAATACAGCCAGTTTATTTTATCAACAAAAAACAAAAGCCCAGAAGTCTGAAATACACAATCAGTTGACTACAGAGATAAACTTACAAACATATACTATGGTCTTTTATCATTCCATAATTTGTATGTATTTGTATGCATGTATGAATGTACGTGTATGTTTTACGAGGGGCCTTTCAGTGTATGTATATATACAGTATACAGTATGTTTGTGTGTTGTTCTAATTAATGTTCTTGCCTCATCTTGGGCCGAGTTTTAAAGGGTTCTTGGGGGATGAGAGGTTCTTCTTGCTGTGGTGGGGCTTCAACTTGAGGGGTTGTTTCGGTGCTGTTTTCAAGTAAAAATTAAGCTGTCAAGGAAGACGTGAAGAACAAGGAGTGAGTGAGTGAGCGAGTGCAAACTGCATAAAGGGCACAGAGAAAGAAAAATGTACCACAAGCCTTTTGTGGGCTTACTCAAAAGCATATTTGGACTACGATCTACCTGGTTTATCCACTAAAACATAGACTGGAGAGTAAAACTATGAAGATTCCTGTCTTATCAGTATAAAAGCACACCTGTATAGCCTCGGCTGGTCCCACTGTAACAGTGCTGGTGGAGGGGGTATAACCCGGCGCAGAGGCTGTCACAGTGTAGGTGCCTGGTAACAGGAGCCTGAAATAGTCACCGTGTAGCCCTGGAGAAGCACAGGTTGAAAAAGATGAGAGGTTGAAACATAGAATCATTTAGTCCTTAATGTAGAGGAATACAAGTATATAGTAGTATGAAACTAAAATACTCAAGTAAAGTACAAGTGCCTGTGAATTGCACTTAGGTATAATACTTGAGTAAATGTAAATATAGTACAGTTTGCATTAAATTTAAAGTTCATTTTCACCACTGACCACTAGGGGGTGGCTTGTTCCATTCTAGTGTGAGGCCACACTTGTTTTTTTCATTCTGATAATGCAGTGAAATACAACTATAAAAACAGACTCTTTCGCCTACACTGTTGAGAGCTGGACCTTTTTCCAAGAAGCACAAAGGCACAGTTCATTTTGACTCAATGTTGGTGTGATTGAGGGTTTTTTTAACAGTTTTTGGACATGTTTTTAGTGCATATCGGGGCGGCATTGTGCGCAGTGGTTCGCACTGTCGCCTCACAATAATCAGGTTCCAGGTTTGAGCCCCAGCCAACCCAATGCCTTTCTGTTAGGGGTTTGCATGTGGCTGTGTGGACTGTGTGAAGCCGTGTACTCCGGCTTTCTCCCACCTGTCCAGGGTGTACCTTCCCTCTCACCCAATGTCAGCTGAGATTGACTCTAGCCCCTTGCGACCCTCTTCAGGATAAGCGGTATAGATAATCGATGGGTGATGGATTATTGCATATCATTGGGCAAGACAATAGTAGATCATTTGATATGTCTGATCAACTGACATATTTCGCAAAGGAGAAAAAAAACTCCCAGTAATAGCAACCAATCTGTACAACGATGAAGCAACACCCCTCCGGCTACATCTTACCGCTGGTCACATCATGATGGATGCCTGCTACTGAGATCTCAGCATTGCCAACTGGGTTGTTGTTTTCATCATACACCATGCCTTTTATCCCATGATGCACCTGAAAAAGGAGAAATGCCTGTTTGTAAATTTTATGCCACCTACAGTAAAATATAATGTGTGACATACAATAAAGATAAATTATATAAGTGAGACCACAAATAGCTTTATGATTGAATGCCGCAGTAGAACACAGCAATGATTACAAATTATATCAGGTCATAAAATACGCTTCCAAATGAAATTTCTAAAACCAGGGACCTTATTCACTTTCCCCACCTTCCCCAGCCTCAGAGCATAACAAGTACAGAGCAATATCCACAAGGCCATTCGCTTTGCTCTGTTTAATCAGTGCTGTGGAAAAGGTTTGCATTTCTGAGCCCTCCCTTGCAACTTTAGAAACACTATTAGAGGCTATGCATCAGTGTATTTTATCTCAGTGGGATAAAGGGGATTTTGTCCTCAAACCAAGGTCTCTTTTCATTGTTGATGGAAGGTAAAAGTCAGTTTACTTGTATTACACTGGATTCTGAGTCACTTTATCCAGGAAATCCCAGCCAGTATTTACAAGAAGCCAGATTACCTGACTCTTTACACTTGGCAGATGTGTTTTTGTGTATAACTGTACAGTATGTCTGTCTGTTGTACGACTGTAATACTTTACTGACATAACTGTAATTTGCCAGATTGTGCTCTGACCTGTTCCAGATATGAAACCAGTGCTTCTCGGTTGGCCAGCCATTCACTGGGTAGTGCTGATGCTGAAGGGAACTTATCACAGCTCAGCTCCAGGGTGATCTCAAAACAGTTGGTGTACAGATAGTTGAAGTCCTGCATGCCTAAATTGCACACAGATATTTGAGAGAGAGAGAGAGACAGAGAGACAGAGAGAGAGAGAGAGAGAGAGGAGTCCAAACTGGTTTACTTGGCCCCCACATAAACATAAAGAGAGTGTTCAGATTTTAAGGAGCTGATGTGATTTATAAAAAAAAGTGGAATTTAATAAAGCTGACTCAAAAACTGCAATTTTGGTCAGTGCCACAACCTCTGCTAAGCTGTTTGAATGCTGTTTCATTTATTTCGTTTTAGTTGGACTTTTAACATATTTGAAGTCAGAGTGGAGTTTTCAACAAAGCCTAACACATATGAGTCCAGGATTATGAGAGAGGGATCAAATACAACCTCACAGACCATGACATAAGACTTGGAGCAAAAGCAGTTGTTAAAATAAACACAACATGCTCCTACTAAATGTGACTGTAGGCGTTTTTATTCAGTTCAAAAGCTTACATCGCTCAACTCCAAAGCTCTACAGATTCATATTCCACAGAAAAATCCAGATCAGCCCAGACCAGGACTTACAGATCAAAGAGGCAAATATTGTTATTGTTGCAGTTTCAGAGTAACTGAGCTAAAGACAGTCTGATACATTTTCTGTACTGTATATTTCAAGCATTCTATGGCAAAACATTACTGTAAGTATCAATGAAATCTTAAAAGAAAGCTCAACGACCCAGAAACTTAACGAGTGAGGATATGGACTTCAAGTTTTACCACTTGTGATTAAAATGAGGTCAATAGAAAAGCTACACATATTCTAAACGTAAAACATGTGTGCATTCCTTTACGAGCATCTATGTTAAAGTAGTTGAGGCCTTATGAGGCAACGTTATGATGGAGTGAGGCTGATGAGTAAGTTCTGTGGATGAACATCCTCAGCTGACTTGTAAAATGTACAAATCTGTGCTGTTTTAATATGTAAATGGAACAGTATTTTTCACAATATTCACCAAAATTCAGATTAGAAATTATAACAAATATGGACTGGTGTGTCTGAAACATTCTGTTTATAGACCAAGTGCTACTAACAGTCATTACCAAATGACAAAATGAACTGGACACAAGTGGAAGCTTTGTGCAGCGCAAATATAAATCTGGAGTGATATAAATTTAAAGGCCGTGTTGGCGATTCTGTTGGTGAAGAGGTGAAGAACACAGGGGCCTCAGAAAGAGCCAGAGAGATCATGACGACACTGAAACAGGCCTCACAAACCATTCAATGCACTTCATTCATGCTGAGTCTGTGTCAGTGCCATCATTCATGCACGTGGCCTTGTCTTTGATGATAGTGGATGTTCTCTAAAGCTCGGATGGAATTTTGGACATCCATAGGGAATGTGATTTGTATATGTGAGAGGTAGCAAGCCCAGAGAAAATGAGTATTTTTACAGATACTGTAACAGTGGCATGGTTTTCATGACAGTTGCTTTCTCTCCTTGTACTTAAAGATGAGAGGTTTTGCTTACCTTTGGACAGAGAGTACCATCTGGCCCCATTGGTGATCCCCTCATCAAAGAAGTCCCCACAGTTCCAACCATTGTGCATCCAGCTGTGAGCGTACGAGTAGGTCCTCGCCAACTATCACCAAATGTAAATGTGCCCATTCATCCACACCATAGTTTTAACAAACACGCAACAGACATCTGGAAAGAATTCTTATTTTGCAGCACACTGTACCTGTCTGAAGAGCTTGTCATCCGGAGTGGCTGCGTATGTCGTCCGCAGTCGAATGCGGGCATCTCTTGACTTGTCAAAGGGGTAGTTGGCCACCACAGCTCCTCCATGGAGGTTGGCTGACAGGACAAAGTTGTAGTTTTGCATCCATTTTATGACTGCCAAAGTCTCTGGTTCAACCTGTGGAGGATATTCAATTAGAAAGCAGTAGGAGTGATTTACTAACAATGTACATGTCATATGGAGGTTTATACATATATATGCATATAGACACACACACAGACACATATTGAATCTAGCTACTCCTTGTGCTGTAGTGTATATAATGTCTAGATTAAATTATTATTAAATAATTAGTCCGTTCTTTCACAGTCATTGAAACAAACAGCTCAATGACATTTTAGTGTCTGTCTGCTACATACACTACTTGGTATTGTCTTGTTACCTATTGCACACAACTTTCACTTTATCCCTTAATCAAATATGAAGACATACTGTACAGATTTATTTTCACCCAGAACCTCTGGCTTCTCTTGGCTGAGAATCTAGGAAAATCCTATTTTTTTCTGCTTTGCCATGTGCACACATTTTACCTGTGATTTTTCTGACCTCTTAGCTCTTTCCGTGCTGCTTTTTCACTTTTAGGCAGCCAGGTTAATATTCAGACAACCACAGATAACAATTCAAGGTACCATCTGACCTTCTCAGGCCTAATAAATGTTTCTTCAACTTCATCTTCAGCTAGTTGCAGTGTGCTTTCTCCATCACTCTCCAAAGCTATAAGGCTCTAAATGAATCAGGCATTGTGTTTGGCACTTGTCCCTCCCTTTTCTGTTTTTAAGTGTGGAATTCGAAAAGAAAGATGAGTTTACAAGATGATGTTGGACCTCAGTTAAAGCTGCCAGAATCTAGAAATAGCAGTTACTTTTACAGTAAGTCCATAATACATAAACATTGTAAAGTAGTGATCTGTCAGCCACACAGTTATTTTGAAGGTTGCATAAGGCTGCAAATATTTGCCAGTTGTTAATCAATGCATTTCATTCTGTACAAACAAGATCAGTCTTAGGTTCAGATGACCTAAACAGAAGGAATCTCTATCTTAAACCTTCAAATTCCAGGTCAGGCTGCCATTTATTTTCTCTGTCACATGCTCTTAGCCATATATCATGCATGGAGACAAGGAGTAATTCCTCTCCTTGAACAAGGTATGTAGGACAATAAACACAGTCTGGCTCTCTTCAGGAACAATCAGGCCTATTTGAGCCCACTGACCTTGAACACAGCAGTTGTAACCAGAAGTTGGACTTCTGTTTTGAGAACAGGCAGGTATTTATTAACTGCTGATCCTTATATACTCCCATAAATGCTGTCACCGTGGCATAGAATGACATATGAGACACACACACACACACATACACATATTTAAAGGAGCAATGTGCCTGATAAATGAAAGTCGTGAATGCACCGAAATGTATATGTGAAAGTGCTTTATCGCTGTTAAACTGTCTTCTGTAATAACTCAGTAAGGTCAACCTTTGATGTCAGATAATCCACTCATGAAGACTGTAGTGTTTCAGTATCTGAAGACAGACTTACTCCAAACTGTTCTCACTGGAATTAGTTTCTCAGAGAAGCGATAACCAACCTTGTCCTCGCTGCAGTTTGGTATAAAAGGCTGGTGGAGTAAGGAGTAGTTAAGCAGATTTTATGATGTTTCTTACATGTGAAGTTTATTTCCTGGGTGCAGAATAATCAAAGGCAACAAAGACCAGAAAGGTTTTTTAGTTCATGAGTGGGTTTCATTAGTCTTATAGCAAAATCAATATCTGCCAAGGCTTTGTCAGTTGTTCACAAGCCACTGGAAAGGGACTAAAGCATCAACATTTAAAAGAAAGCATCTGTGCTATTAGAGACTTAGCAATGAACAGTTGACTGTGAGTGAAATCACAGGTTTGTAAACTATGTGGAAAGCAGGTAATGTACTCTGAGACTGCAGAGTAGGTCAGCTCAGCTTCCCACAGTGGTGGTGAAATGACAAAATGTTCGGCACAAGCTGGAAGTCTTTGTACACACGGCATACATATATTTTATCAGATGTAATGTTTCCCACAGTGTGAGAGCTTTAGAGGACATCTGCATGTCAGTGTAAGCTTATAGTAGGCTTGGAATTCATCTCCTACATAGAAAAATCTAAACAAAAAAATGTATAAACTGTATCTAAACCATGTTGGATCTCCACCTGTTTTAGTCTGAAACACAAAGGAAAGCGGCCTCTTTCTGACCGAGGGGAAGAAAAGAACAGTTTATATGACGGCATATAGGTTCTACAGTAAGATAAGCAAACACGCCTAAATGGGTCAGACTGTACAGACACACAAAGAAGAAACAGCCTACAGAAACAGCCAATTCACTGGGTTGACTTACCATTTACATTTATGGACAGTATCTTTTTATTTAGTTAAAGCTCAAGCTATGGCAGTATAATCTGATCCAGTATAAATTTCATGAATTCGTTGTCAACAAAGTTAAAGTCAAGATAGCTCAGCTATGTTAGTCGCTCATTATTCAACTCTATATTTAAACATTTACAACACACTCACACAAGCATGAAAAATGTGCTCATCCATCTTCCTCTCACTCCAACTATGCACACACACATACACACAGATGAATGGTGTCATGCCCCTGGGTCTCCTGACTGTTTATCCAGTAGCACTGACCTGTTGCTCCCAGTTGTCCGGCAGGGGCAGGTGGTGGTTTCGTCCACTGGTTTTCTCATAGTAATACATGAGCGCATTCAGATCTGGAAAGTTACGGTTCAGATCAATTTCCCTGGCGTTCCCTCGACCGACCAGGTAGCCATTGAACTCTGGACCCTGTTGACCCAAAGACAAAATATCAAGCTTTTCACACAGCAACTCCTGCTGGGTTACCTGGGCTTTTCCCATTAGAGTGACTTCATTCACATGTTTAGAATTTTCAAGCTATGAAGTGATATTGCTTGGTAGCAGCAAATGAAAAATGGCTTTCGTATTACATAACCTACAGTGTAACAACAGTAGTTGGATTCAGAACGACAGTATTTAAATCTTACATTTTCCAGTGCAATGAACATGAACTGATACTTTTGGCATTTTTCCTCAAAAGCTCAATTATTACACCAACTCAGCAACATGCCATTGGAAATGCTGGAAAATAAAACAACCATTCCGTTGTTATCTAGATGCTGCTGCACCCAAACATCTGTTGATACAACAAATTATAGTGTGGTATGTGTGTGTCGTCTGAGTGGCAAAGAGAGGGACTGGCAACTGTCCTCTGCAGGACATATAATTAGTCTCGACGAGATTGTGTGCACATGTGTGTGTGTTTGTGTTAAAAGGAGTTGCATGTACGTCTGTTCGTCTGTTTTTTCACAGTCCATATACAGTAATTACCTCCGGTAGAAAGCTAGGAGCTCTCTCAGGGAACTAATAGATGGGATTATTACAGACATTAGCAGACAGTACAAGAAAATGACCTGATATTGTCTGGCTCTAAGTTGCTAATCATTAACACACATATACTGATTTACATTTAAAATATATTATCAAATGCAGTTGGAAGGTATGTGTGCTGAATGTATACACTGAGGTGTAACTTAAGTCACAGGCGTTGAGTTTCACTGTATGACATTTCCACCATTTCTACTGGCATTTACACATTCAAATAAAAATGTGAAAAGCTTTTCTCTACAAGTGGCAAATGACTGCTAAAGAAAAACAGCCAAAGGTGTCTTTGAGGGAGACTTTCCCCTTTGGCATGAGGAGGCCTCGAGCTCACATGTACATCAGGGTGTACATTACCTGTCTGGCAGCCACTTCGTAACCATCAGGGTTCATGGAGGGCAGGATGTGGATGCGTGTGTCATGGATCAGTCTTGTGATTCGCTGGTTTCCGGCTCGATACTCCTCACACAGAAACTGGGAAAACTTAATTAGCAGCTCACGGCCGAGCACTTCGTTGCCATGCATGTTGCCCACGTACTTGAACTCTGGCTCCACTGGAGAGGAAGTGGAGGGGGAGGCGTGAGGTCAAAAAGCCACATACAGCCGCCATGCATGACATTTAAAATGATTGCTTGAGCACACACACACTTACTTTTTAAATTCAATCTTTTAGTTTTTCTGAGTCTTTGTGCCAGCGTACTGAGTTTCTAAACGTTACAGGATTTAAATTAGAATTGATCACTGCATAACCTGATCAATAACTACAAAGCTTTTGGTCAACAGTGGCCACTATGAACATGAATTGTATTTACATGATAAAGGCACACTGAATTTCCTTTCATCTATCAGGATTATCTCGAGTCATTTGTTTTAAAGATGTTATCATTAGGCCACCTGGCAAAGAACAAGTAGAATGGGGCCCCATACAGGAAACAAATGTCACCCTGTGAGGCTGTTTTATCATTTCAAACTCGTAGTCTTTGACCCCAACCAAGGCTTTCGCAAGTGACATCACTTGAGGCAATTCATTAGATTTCATGGCGCTCCCTCTGGAGCCACAAAAGGAGCCACAACTTTTTTCACATATGCAGTATATTCTCCAAGGCCTGTAAACAGACGGTGATGTGACTTTCATGTGGCATTTTACCCTTTAGTTAACATTAACCACTGTGAGCTACTACACACACATAAGTATGGCTGAAGCAGCAAAATGGCAAAGTGTATTCTCTTTATCTTTTATAAGAGAGAGATTGTTACCTCAGTCAAGGAGGTTTTGTTGTTACTGCCATTTGTTGGTTTGCTCATAGCCTAACTCAAATATTTCTAGATGGATTTTGCTGTCACTTTTTGTAGCGGTAGGGTATGACCCATGGAACAATCCATTACATTTTGGTTGTCATCTGAATCATCAACCCAACCCATGAATTCTTTTTAATGGCATTGTGGCGAAGCTGAGCTGCCTTGGAGGAGGTTTGTGCTCTCTGACAGCTGTTTAGTTTTTACTTGTGCCTTTCAAAATTTACATGGTCTTGCTTTTAAATAAAGTTTTTACATTATTGCAATTTCATGATGACAGTTCTGAATGAGTCTGATGATGACTGATCAAATTATAGG